GCCGGCCCGGGCCGCCACCGCCTCCCCGGCGAGGGGCCGTGACCGGAGAGGCCTCCCGACCCGCGCAGCCGTTCCCCGGTGAGGGGACGGGGAAGGTCGCGCCCGGAGGCGTGGGGCCACGGCCTCGCTACCTGGCCCCGGCGCGGGCTGATGTGAGCGCGGAGCCAGGTCTTGGTGGCCAGCCTGGCCTCGAGTGGGGCGACTTACCGGCCGCTGGCCAGGAACGCCGGGCTCCGGCCGCAGCGAGGCTCCTGGAGGGCTGGATGCTCTCCTGCACCGAAGCGCTTTTGCAACTTAATTGTGGAAGCTCTTAATAATTTGCGTAGGAGCAGAAGTGCTACAAACCCAATTTCGGGGAGGCCAGATGCCCGCCCTTCCAGCGGGAGGCCCCCAGCGGGCTTGGAAGTCTGGGCTGAAGGTCAGAGAGGGCCGACTTGAGAGCTCGCTGTGCCTGCTCACCGCCTCACCCGCCCCTCTAGCTATGACAACGTCCCAGGGACCTCCAGTTCACCCAAGGCATGTGGATGCGTGGGCAATTACGTGTGTGAGTTGGTAATTCACAAACTGGTAGGGAGGCGAGTTAGACGGGACCATCTGTAGACACCAGTACAGGAGAAAGGAGGTTGTGTGAGTAGGCTGAGTGAAATGATGAAAGTGGGATCTGAAGAAGAAGAAGAAAACAGAAAACAAGCAGCTGTTCCCCATACAATGCCTGATCCCACAGGCACATCGCTTTCAAAGGCCGTTCCTCCAGCTCGGAGGCATTCTCAGGATGATGCCCTAAATGAACTGAACGTTGAAGCATCACACGCACTACCTCATTATGTGGTGAATATATTCTCTTGAGTGTTTTTGCAGATGATTCTACTTACACATTTTTCGCTAACCAATTACTATGGTATTCATCACTCTGTGGCAATACTCACACCATAGGTTCAGACCAAAACCCTTGGTGCTCCATTAGGAAACATTTACTGGCTGAATTTTGTATTCTGACGCCTCTCTGATCTCAGCAAAGCTTTGTCGCTTTGTCAAAACTACAGTACTAGTCTGAAGTCTGGTGTCATTACTGAAATTAGAATGTAATTGCTAAAATACATAAAAATATGTTGTGATTCTCACACTCTAATTTTGTTTGCTCATTTCTGTGTTCAGGATAAGCCTACTTCATGGGAATACTATTTTACTTTATAGTGTAAAACTCTGATGTAGGAATGGAAGTATTTGTGTTAGCAACAGTTAAAGCTATATGTTAAATGAGTTCTGTGTATGCAAATGTTTGCAGGACTATGGCTATGTTTGATCATTATGATTGAGAAACAAGAGTTCACAATTGCAGAAAAAGGCTTTCTTGGCACTGATCTGCCACCAATCTATTTAATGGGAATTTTTCCCCTTTAACGGAAGTGGGATGAGATGCTGTCATGATCCTGCAAACCTAAATGCAAACAGACTCCCTTGATTGTGTGGATGTCAGTGGGACCATTCCCTGAGCTCAATTATAGTTAATCTTTTTTAATCCAGACAGCCACTTTGATATTATTCTGTTTTGGTTGGGGTGTTTTTTCTGCTAGGAAGACAAATTCATGAGGATTCCCTCAGCTGCCTGAAACAAAGTATGTCATGTCTATGAACTGCAGCTCCCTGCAGACAGAGTCTGGTCACATCTAGTATTGTACTCATCACATATTCAAAGGCTCAGCCCCTTGCCTGCTGCCCTCACTACAGGTCCTGTGACTGAAGGCTGGGTGCTGTTTCATTATGTGCAACAGGCTTCAAAGTTAAATGACCTGACAAAAGAAAAAGAAGGGAAGAAAAAGACCAGGTACAGAGGGGACAGAGAACAACCTGGTGGCAAAGGAGCAGAGAAGGAACAAGTCCTGAAGCTTAGGTAGAGTCCATGACAGATTATATTGCCAAGGGGTTGGCAGAAGCGCTTCAGTCCTACTCTGAAAACTTATCTGGCAACAGGCCTGGAGTCTACGTGGCTTTGAACTCAAAGCTGTGGTCAAGGAGGAGGCCATTGACATCAGTGTTGTGGGAAGAGCTGCACTGTAACCAGTCCTGTCATTCCTGAACTTCGACACCCTGATTTGGTATTTTAATATCCCCAAATTACTCTCTCACTAGTAATGTTTCATAGCTCTTTGTATAAAAGAAAATTAATACAGTCAGATTTCTGGGCAAGGCCCACTTCCCATAGCCGCCCTTAAAACCTAATAGCCCTTTCTGTGCAGATGTGGTCAGCCAGTGAGTGAGATAGATAGTCCTCCATTGCTGACCCAGAAACTCTCCTCCACCTTCTATCAGTTTTTAGCAGATTAATGCCTCCCAGGGCTGTCCCAAGACACAACGCTGAAAACATGACTGGTAAAAATTCCTGCTCCAAACTTAAGTCCTAATTTCTTAGAAGTGATTTAGCTTTGAAATATTTCCCATAATCTTCTGGTACATTGTTAATCTGCTCAAGTAAAACTTACAAGCAGGTTGATATATTGAGAATAAAGGCATTTCAGTAAATTTGTCACTGTGTGGAATGTGAGGGGAATTTCTTTCCCCCATCGTACAAAAGCGTGCCTCCATTATCTCAAGTGGGTTAGTGCAGCCTGGAAGGCCTGGTGATGAGAAAACTGCCGTGCAGCATAGAGGTGGAAAAATAATCAGCTGCAGGAAACGTGGAGACTCCAAACATAAGCCCAACCATTAAACTGAATGCAAGGAGGGAGAATGGGACAAGAAGAACTAGTAAGAGAGAAACAGAAAGAGAGGAAAATGCGCTGCTGGAGAACTGGGAACTCAGGTTCCAGTCACCGCAGTGGGCAGCGTGGGATGACAGCCAGGGGCTAACACACGCGCTCTGGTGCTTAGATGGTGCAACACAACAAGAACAGCAGGGGAGACTCCTGAGGAGGGGCCTGGGTGAGGGGCAGCAGGCCTGTCCTAGCGCAGACCTGGAGGAAGCAGTGGCAGGCAGCTGGGTGCACCTCACTCTGCCAGGGGCTTGAAAATCCCATCCTCTTCTGAGAAGGTTTCACTACTATGGCTTTCTTTAGTCTTCCCGATTCAACCAAAGTATTATTTCTAAAATAATCTCCCTCACCCACACAGCAAAGATGTTGCCACCCACATATAGTGCCTGGCTTAATGTCCTGGGCCTGGCCCTATGACGGCAGGGTGGGCAGAGGCTGCGCTGCCGGCACCACTCGTGCCCCGAGTGGGCGCGGTGGGTCTGGGAGCTGAGCAGCACCGGGCAGACACGGGCCCGTGTCCCGCGGGCTCCCACGCACTGAGGCTGAGGCGCGCGTGGGGGTGACGCAGGAGGGCCCCAAGAGCCCGCTTCTGGGCTCCGCGCGGGGCGAGGCTGCAGGACCAGGCTGACTTCGAGGCCCCCCGGGGTGGCGGCTACGTCTCATAAAAATGCCGGCGGTCATTTCGGTGCCGCGGACCGGCCGCCACCCCGCTCACCAGAGGCAGCGTCCTGGGGGTGCCCCGCTCCCACGGGTGTCTTTAGGCC